AATAATAAACGTTGAGTTGGAATTATCCTATAAGTGAGCGTCACAAAGAAGAAGAAAAAGGACAATCCTAACTGGCAGGGTTTGCTCCGTATGGGAACTTCATCACCGACATCCCGAGGTCAGCTCGACCACGACGCTAACGCGTCGAAAGTCCAACTGACCGAAGCCGGGGGGATGAATCCCCCTAGTCGAGAGTAGGGGGATTCGTCCCCCTCCCTCAGTCGTATGCAACAAGCCCCGAGGGGATATATCCCCTCAGTGCAGCGGGGCTTGTTGCATACGACCGAGGGGATATGTCCCCTCGCGGGCGTCGGGGCTTGTTGCATACGACCGAGGGGATATATCCCCTCAGACCTGCGGGGCTTGTTGCATACGGCCCCAGGTAGCGGCACGGAGAGGGATCACTTCGCTTGATTTATTCAGCATGTTATTCGCATTACCAAAGAACGGAAGCAGTCGCTTGTATTGAAGCAAATTCACTGAATATATTTTTGGACAGTTATTTGAAATCCGCCATCCGAGTGTAGTGAATACTTTCTTAACGTTGATGAAGCTAGGAAGGAAGCGGTACTGGTAACGTCGAACATTTTCGTGCCAAGTGCACAGTGGCGTGACAAATGTGATACTGGTGTGGTATTCGCGCTCAGCGGATGAAACTGTATCTAAAAGCGATTCAGTGGAGAATAAGATTTGGATCGAACGCCGGATATGCACCATTCATATATCCATAAAATAACCGCTGGACCAGTTGTGGGATAAAGTTAAATTTTTGACTATACTCGGAGGGAAGAAACGGTGTCTTTCTTATTTGCACAAGATGTTTTGTAGCACAATTGCCCGGTGAGCGAAAGATTCGAATCCTGTGCGAGATTGCGCGGCGAGGAGGGCTTTGGCCTACTACTTACAGCGATGGGTTCGTTGCATCAGCTGGTCCCGCCCACCGCGGGATGTGGTGCGTGGCTGGCCTAACGTGTGAGATCAGCTAGGTTGATTGCCGTATCAACCGATGGAACGGCTGGCATATCCGGAAAACTCGTTTGGACGTGGCTCTCCCCAAGCAAGCCTCCTTCACTGCTAGTGGGAAAGAGGGTTTCGTTAACGGCCTTGTCGACGGTTTTTTCAGTTTTTTCTCCACTGTCGTTCCACTTCGCATCTCTATACTCAGTTTCAATCGCCATAATACCCCATTATTGAGCCCGACTTTTGCCTTTAAGGCACATTCCTTTTGGACGAGATATTTAGTAAAAAATAGCTCACATCGGTATTGAGTTGATCCAGTAATGTGGTAAGATCAACTGTTTTAACCAGCCAGCCGACAGTAGCACGTGATAAGGTAGTCTGTACTAAACCACACGTCTTCCTTAGCGTTGTGTTCAACTTTATCGATGTCGTTTTTTCTTCTGAATCGAACTTATACTTTCTGAATTTTGTGAGCTGTTACAAGGGTATTCCAAAAACCGAGCAACTCCACCCATTCCGTTGAAACCTCTGAACACGTCTACTACGCACCATCACGAAACAGCTTCAGTGACCGTACATCCCATTTTGCCGTGTGGTCCCATCGATTTGGGTCGCATTCAGTGCCACCAATATCATTTGTTCCATCTAATGCTTGCAATATTGAGGTTGTCTCATATATAGACTTTATCATGATATCGTAGTTCTGCAAACAGCTTCACAACATCTTTCTTCATACATGAAGCAACGGTAAAGTGCTCGCTAAAACGGCATCGTTTTTTCTTCGTGCTTCTTTTTTTTTCTTCCAAAAGAGATTCAAAGACCAGCTCAGGATTATCGAATGCATCAAAAGGCAGCACAACAAGAAAAATTGCACGAGGAAGCTTTTGGTGAACATTTTGGCAGCTACGGTCATCGCAAAATGAATAAAAAAATGAGAATGGTAGCTGACGTACTTGCATCATTATGACATGCTCCCAACCGGGAACATCTGAGATAAGCTTGAAGACATTCATAAAAAGCATGATTTTGATATCGGCCAGACCCAGTGACCTCGAATCTCGCTGAAAAAGTCCACTTTCTCTCGGAGATCGAAACAAAAGCACAGGAAAATGTCCCAGAACATCTGTGGGTGGTGTTATAAAAGTATTGATATCTCATATTTTACTGAGGCATGGATTTATTATTACTATGTGCTGGGGCTAGTCATTGGTTTTTGCAGAGAATTGAAAAATGAAGTGTTTATCGACAAGTATGAACAAACAACGGATTTTAACCAACATAAACAATAATACCAAACGATATTAGTCGAAGCAGTAGTGAGTACACCACCTATTGGGGTGTCCCATAGTTCCTGTAAATTTCGCGGCAGCAAGTGCGTTTCCTTATAATTTTCTGATCTCGAGTCATCACCATAGGGTACAACTTCTTTACGTACGGTAAGATGGCACACACCATCTGCTCTACTTTAGAAAGTGTTGCGGCCAAGTTGACAGCAGTACCGTGCTCGGTTCGATTACAGTCCTCCGATATACACGACCTTGCCCGGATGAACTTTCTCTTTGAAGCAGGGCCAACCGTCATGTTGGATCGGTTTCAATAATTTCACGACCCCCCCCCTTGGAGAGTCTCGATACGACCCCCCTCTCCAGCGCTTATTATGTACTGCTGTGTACTGGCCCGTCACTGCCACAAGTAAAAGGTTTACATTGTCGGAAAATAAGTGCAATCCACAAAAAATTAACAAAGCACTTAGTTGGGATTCAAACCAAGTGGCAGAACTCCGGAAGTTTGTTGATAAGCACAAAAAGTGCTGAAATCGGATGGACCATAGCTTAAAGGCAAGATTCGGGATAAAATAGGTGTGGAAAAGCGTTCAGTTATGAAGCTATAGGTGGGAGGTGGTCTGTAAAAGAGAAGGAAAGCAAACGAAACCACCGATTACGCCCCGTACAGAGACCTCCCCTATTTCAGCCACATTCCACCTTGGGATAGAGAAGAGGCGAATTGGACGAGTTTCACGAACCTAACTCTACTTGCTCCAGTGCCAATGACATTGGATCGCGCTGGGACCGCTGCCTCAAATGCGCCCGCGCTTTTCAAGCAGCGCCACGTGGCAACCGACAGCGGAGGGTGGGGCTTGCGGACGAAGGTGTGAGTTGCGGGTTGGACGAGCTCCTTGCGCCTTTGTCGCGCACTTTCAAGCGGCAAAAGGGGCGACATCAACACTTGTCCACCTGCCTACTACCCCCTGGATGGAACAGGCGAGCGCGCCTGATCGCGGAGCGTGCCTTTAAATGGCGCTGCTTGCGCAGAAATATAGTGAGTTTTTATAATTTATCTTTCAGAATCACAAAAAATATTCGAATAAAAGTGAGGAATTCGTCCTCACCTTGTGTGACCAGAATATTTGGGAAGCAGTTCGCAAGAACTTTCAATGCGACTATTGAAAGAATCTAAGGCTTTAGCGTCGACAGAATAGCAAAAGATATTCTGAGGATGATAGCTTGCTGCGAGTTCGTCTTCAATGAAGTCATAGCCCTAAAATAGCCCTGGTAATTTCCATTAGCAAACATGCTACTGTTTGGTCTTGGTCTTCATCGGAAACTTGTTCGAATATGGCCAGCTACACTAAAATGGACCTCGACACAATTAGCTTCGTACTATATAATAACTAACACTCACATATGTACATACATAAAATAGTTTCAGTAACCACACAGCCGTTACCTCATAAACAATCCGTACATAAGCAACACCAAAGGGCAGCGGCCTAGGATCATGCTGAGCTATCACTCTTCTGCGAATACGTTTGCAGTCCGAATAGTGTTTGCAGTCTGTGTTCCGGGATCGAAGCAGATTCGGTCGTCGTTCTGCTATAGTTCTGATATATTCCTGACAAAAACGTAAGCCTAGGCGGGAAAACTAAGCACAAATCTGAAGTCTCTTCTGAGCTCTCGCACCAATAAAGATGGTTCCGAGGAACTCTTTAAGGTCGCCATAAAAGGATAAAGATTTGCCGTTGATCAATCCCTTTTGGGATGCGGCACGCATTCTACTTCCATTTGTACATTCGTAGTGGCGTTTGAATGCGATGTGGCCTATACAATGACTTGCGGGGCCAGCCGATGTACAAGTCAGTGTTTTTATCCTCCCAGACAAGTCTGGTACCAATTAACCGACCCCGGAGGGATGGAAGGCTTGGTTGGCCCGGACGACGCACGATTCAGGGGCCGGATTCAGTCCTCCCCCAATGGGTTGGGGGACGAAAATCCCTTTAAATTTATTTGTTTTTAACGATATAGTTTCTTCATTTTCAGTGCATGTTTACTTTGACCTACATACATACATTAAATGTAGGCCCTTTATCAGGACAATCCCAGTTGGGAAGACAGAGAAAATTTAAAGGGATTTTCGTCCCCCAACCCTTCAGGGAGGATTTAATCCGGCCACGGGATTCGATCCCCAGACCGCGCGCGTGGTAAGCGTGCCACTTGTCACTACACCACTGCCGCCCTCAAGGTTGCCATGACCACCCAAAATGAACTGTGGGCATCTGCTTTTTGCGCCTTTGAAGGAACGAATCGGGATTGGTGTATTATTTTGTTTGAAAATTAGACAAGAAGTGCAACGGAGAATGTTGGTATGGGGAAAAAGCAAAGCGCCGTAGAAAGCACTGAACATTCCCGTCTGGTATCGGATGTGGCATGACGGAAAGACACAGAGCTGCGAAGAGAGGGGAAACGAGAGAGCAGTGGCACGGGAAAGAGCTAGACGTCACGTATGTCGATAGAAAGATAGCGGCGGCATCGTACAAGGCGAGGCTTCATCCCCTTACCACGCAATTTTAGTCGGGACAGTACCACCACTTCTGCGCTTGGGGACCCCTCTTTCTCACTCGAGGAGGGCCTGACTCTTGGCACCCCGACCCATGGCTTCAGACGACCTTTTGAACTTCCTTCGAAAACTGTCGAGGACACAACGATAGGTCGGTGGGAGCGGCGAATACTCTGTAAAGAACCAGTGGTAATAGGCGATGTGATGCGAGACGTGGCTGTGGTGAAGTATACCTTTGGAAAGGCAGTCTCATTGCTCTAAATTGTGGTCCGCCCGCTCTAAAAGTGCGCGACAATGGTACTATTGCCTTACGAAGTGATTTGATGGCGGCTAATATGAACTCATGGACAGATACTTCGCGCCCGCCCTCACGCGACGTCATTACGGCGTAGCAGATAGAGGGGATTCCAATAATACTGCAACACGGGTTGCAAACAAGATAACTCCGTTGCAAAACTATACGACATACCCAAATTTTGAGTTTCTGAAGTTGCGAGAAGCTCTGCTCGAAAATGGCTAATGCCATTCGATTCAGCGTGTAAAGAAACCTACAAATGAGAATCTTCAAACAGATTTGTCAAATTCCAGAAATCTAGGATCAAAAATTTGAAAAAACGGCCGTTGCAAAATTATACGACATAGCAGAAATTTCGACAATTTTTTTGCTTCACTAAAATTTTTCCAAACTACTCCACAGTCGTAATAGCACTGTATTGTAGGTGAGCAGGCCACGGATTCGCCTTGAGGCGCCTTCACCCTGAGGAGCCTATCTGACATGTTATCTACCAATTTTTGTATGCCTAATCCCAGATACGTGCGTAATTTTTAAGTAGCTTCTTCTGCAATAGATGCATGGAGCTGTGCCAATTCCACCAGGAACAAACAACACGGGTAAGAGTGTCCCATGGGTTTTCCATCGGATTTAGACTTCGCTAACAGGCGGACCATCCCATTGAATCTACATGGTAGGTTTCAAAGCAAGTTGAAGTCGGCTCAGTAACATGTATAACCGCATTGTAGTGTTGAGAAACATGCCGATGATGACGATTCTGCGTAGTAGACGGTAGCACGCGATGATTGAGCCACTTATTGCTAGTCGGTGGGGTCCCTTCCGTTGAACCATGAAGACCACATCTAGCTTGCCATACCAACTGTAGGTTGTGCAGCGTTACCAAGCTCATCTTCGAGAGGGAAAAAACGGAATTTCCGCTCAAATCATCTTTGCACTATGCCACCTATCTGGCCGACTAGGAGAAATACTTCCTTTCTCCGAAGAACTACCTGCAAAACCTAAGAACAAATAAGTCGTTTGGCATCTCGCCCAAGTGCAATCTGTACGAAAAGTCAACAGATTTACCGATCACGATGATGTGCTCTGACAACACGGGCTACCGTCTACTACGCAGAATCGTCATCATCGGCATGTTTCTCAACACTATAATGCGGTTATACATGTTACTGAGCCGACTTCAACTTGCTTTGAAACCTACCATGTAGATTCAATGGGATGGTCCGCCTGTTAGCGAAGTCTAAATCCGATGGAAAACCCATGGGACACTCTTACCCGTGTTGTTTGTTCCTGGTGGAATTGGCACAGCTCCATGCATCTATTGCAGAAGAAGCTACTTAAAAATTACGCACGTATCTGGGATTAGGCATACAAAAATTGGTAGATAACATGTCAGATAGGCTCCTCAGGGTGAAGGCGCCTCAAGGCGAATCCGTGGCCTGCTCACCTACAATACAGTGCTATTACGACTGTGGAGTAGTTTGGAAAAATTTTAGTGAAGCAAAAAAATTGTCGAAATTTCTGCTATGTCGTATAATTTTGCAACGGCCGTTTTTTCAATTTTTTGATCCTAGATTTCTGGAATTTGACAAATCTGTTGAAGATTCTCATTTGTAGGTTTCTTTACACGCTGAATCGAATGGCATTAGCCATTTTCGTGCAGAGCTTCTCGCAACTTCAGAAACTCAAAATTTGGGGTATGTCGTATAGTTTTGCAACGGAGTGTTATAACTTCGCTTAAAATTAGTCTAATTTCAAATAGCTATACACAATATTTATTCAAACATTTACATAATACAATCAATGGTGTTCACTCGATATGTCCTCCATTCGCCCTAATTACCGCCCTCAAACGGTCAAGGATATCCTTGTACTGCGGCCCGGGATGGTCTCCTGCGGTATCTCCTTCCACGCTTTGACGAGAGACGACTCCAGCTTGACCAAATTGGTGTGTTGTTTAGTGCAGGCTTTCTCCTCCAAAATGGCCCAGATAGAGTAGTCCATTACGTTCAGATCGGGGGAGCAAGCGGGCCATTCAGTCGACGGTATGAAGTCAGGCAAAGTGGCCCGGCACCAGTCCTGAACAATTTTTGCTCTGTGCGCTGGGGCAGAGTCCTGTTGAAAAGTCCATCTTTTGTCGCCGAAATGGCTAATGGACCACGGTAACAATGCTTCTTCAAAACTTCCGTAAGGTAGGCATCGGCGTCGGGTTTCGTACCTTTTTCGACGAACACCAGTGGGGTGCGACCGCTGGCCGTTACCGCTACCCAAACCATTACAGAAGTTGGCTTCTGCTTACGGGAAACAATCCTTCCCATCTCGTCGGCTTCTTCAGATGTTCGAGGCAAGTATCCTCGTGTTTTGGCGGTTATAGCTTTCCTCCACTGTGAAAATTTTTTCGTCCGAAAACACAGTCATCAGGTGATCGCCTTTCTCGGCCCTCGCTAGAAGCGACAAACACTTTGATCTTCTGCTAGCCTTCTGTGCTTCCGTTAGGCCTTGTCGCTTTAACAGCTTGTAGGGATAGACATGTAGTTCTCGTCGAACCACTCTCCACATGGTCGTGCTCGGAATTCCCAGCTCTCTGGCCATTCTTCTTATGCTCCTGCGAGGATTGCGCTCGACTCGCTTCTTCACAATTTTCTTGAGACTCGATGTAGCTGAAGCTACGGGACGACCACAGCGTGGACGATCTTCCAGCGTACCTCTCTTCAGTGCACGGCAGATGGTTGATCGGTGCACGTTCAAAAGACGAGCGATCTTCGCCTGAGAGTATCCTGCCTCGCGCAGAGAGAGAATAGCAGCTCTGTTTGGGTTCGATCTCGCCATGAATTGGAAAGCTAACGATTAGGAGTGAGACTTGGCAAGGTTATTAGCAGGGATGTACGGTAGTATCTATATGCTTTCCTTTCAAAAAAATCAATAACCTAAATTGAAAATGGCGGGGGAAATTTTTTTCAGAATTTATGGAATACCTGTAATTGGCCGATAAGTAGATAGATACGGTATCCTCATCACATTGATGTGATTGCGTTCGACAAAGTCGTCAGACGTGCCCTTTCCACGTCGTCATCATCAATCGCTGTTGCCCTACCAATCTAGACTGGAGTTGTTGCTTTAAATTGCCTAGGTAATGCGCTATCCACCAAACCATAATGTTTGTTGGCATGGTGTCAGCTATCATGTTAACGCTTAAGGCAGACTGAAAAATGGACTGACTGGAAACTCGTCTTCAATAGTTTGTAAGGACCAAGGCCCTCCAACCAAGCCGTCACGTAGCTAGGTAATCAGAAAGACAAAGTCAGTAGAGGCACACCCATGATCAAAAGACAACGGGTGCTGAGAAGAGAAAGAAACTCTCTAGATGAGAATGGGCGACCAGAGAGAAAGGACCTCAAGGTAAGAGCTAGCAGATCGCGACACACCACAGATAGTGTCGCCATACCGGCACTCTGGCATTCCAACAGCAAGGCGGATTGACTCCCCCTGGGGAAAACTAGAAGATTAGAGCTTTCTAATGAATACTTGATTTCGTTTCCAGAATGACCCGTTCAAAAATCGTCCCGTTGGACCGTTTTTTTCATGAATTTTCGGAGCTACTCTCCTGAAAACACGAGTTTTCAACACTCAAACACTCACAGCTCTCTTCAAACTCAATTTTATGGGGAATAATGATACCATGACATCGCACAAGCTTTTGCTTCATAACAGATACTAACCCTTTTCAGAAGTCGCCGACAGGCAAATATTTTTTCCAAAACTTTTCTTGTAAGCCTTTAGCAGTCAATCT